GACAATCTTCTCAAGACCATTTATAACGTTAGACAAACAAATGCATGACGTGGACAAAACATAGCAGAACAATTACAAACAAAGTTGAGCAGTTGCACATGTACCGAAACCTTGAGATCCCTATTCGTAATCAACCCTGTGTAACCCCATAAAGCACACAATTTCTCCCATCGTTGGTAGCTCGAGACATCTGTTACTACGACGATTCTTCTTTACGAACTGTCAAAGCATTCTTGTAGCCTACCACTGCATTAGAATTTTCCACACGAGTTGTCTTGTTGTTGGAGGGTTTCAAACCGCAGACTTTCGTCAAAATTGCATATTTGATCTCATGATGAGCCATGCCAAAAATGAAAGCATGAGAAAGCCCAGAGAGAGTGGCGCAAGTCCCAACAAAGAAAGACACTTCGTCAAGCAGCTAAAAAGTTTGAATCATTTGCATTTGTCATTAGTCGCAGACTTACCTGAATACTAAGTACGGTGCCAACGCCATTGAGGCAACCTGGAACGACTCCAATCAAGGCTGATACGAGTAGGATGTAGAGGGCAACCCGATTAGCCTGAAATTTAGAAATAAAAATAATCAGCCATATCATCGAAAGCTTTGTTGTACACGCTTACACTCCTATCAATCTTGGTCCTATTGTGTCTCTCCACTTCAGACGCTTTCGTTAATCGTGCTGAACGTTTGAAGAGATGATACATTATTATCATTGTTAGCAGGCATGAGAAGAGGTTCATCATCATATTTGACAGTCCCCAGTAAGCACGGAACAGCTGAAATGGCACTTTTTGAATTTAGAACAGGGCTTATGGAACTGAGCTGTGAGCACCTCATTAGTGAAACATCCGAAAGAGCTGCAACCAGGAACTCGACGAATAGTGACTGTCATTTGGAGGATAAGCCAGTCGATGAAAGCTAGTAATATGGCGAAAAGGAAGGCCGCGATAGACCAGCTGCAAAGGCTCGCAATCGTATGTAAAGACTTTGCTTCAATTGCTTTTTTGGGAAAAGGTGAGCTTCACATGGTTGTAATGGCGCGAACAATTTTCAGCTTCGTAACTCATTTTGATACCTCAACTAATGTCATCATTTACTACATTCATTCATAGTTTCAATATTACTGATACCATCAGGCATTGCCGTTATAATTTGACAGACCCACTCTAACGAGGAGAGTGCAGAAGAGAATTACAAAACATACTATCGTTTCGATCTTCTGTAGTAATCCACTGGGAAATACAATGCTAGAAGGCGATCAATAGCTATGGCAGTAGTGACCGTACATCCGGACTTCATAAGGGCTGCAGATGGACCTCCCAGTGGTATTATCACCCATGGATCGTAGTCAAAAGGTACATCTGTAAGTGATCGATATTCAAGCCATAA